ACGATAATTTATGATTCGATTGCATTTTATATTGCACATATATAATAGTGATTTGGTATACGTATGATGATTTTTCTATCGGTGCTGCTCACTTTGTAGACACCTTTATATACTAGCTTTATTTTACAAGCAATCGATTCAAAGACATGTTCCTTTCATAAACAATTTACCCACTGAAAGCTCAATTCATAGATAACTCATTTCATGATAAATCATTTAATCAAGTAATTCTAATCTTGTTAATTTATTCACATGATTCAATAAATGACATTTATCAATCGAATTATTAAAAATAATCTATTCATGTTTTTGAATACAGTAAAAACCTCTCCAAGTGCATCCTCTATAAGTACACATCCACTTTAAATGTACGCTCAAACTCTAGCTCAAATACACATTATTATATAAAATCATCATTTAGCAAATAAATAAACAATTTGCAGGACAATTATTTGTCGATTTCCATTATTGATATTAGAATGCATATATTTACAATTTCACAAGTTCGAAGCACATTTAATTTAATTCTTCGAATGAATAAAATTTTGATTTTTAGCCGTCACTTGTCGAATTTTCTTGATTAATAAGTGTTACAAATATCGTATAGGCGCGTAACGCACATGGGCGTATTTGAAGATTCAATTTTTTGAAAATCGTATATTTGACTCAAAAGAATGCCCATGCGCGTCCTGAAATAACACGGCCACATATATAATCTCTAGAAAGTTTTATTTAATTGTGACATTTTCCTAAAAATTAGGATAATGATTCGAATTATCACGTATGTGTTCCAAAATAACGTGCACGTTATTACGCACCTATACGGTAGGAGTTTTCATATAAATTCTCATTCGCATTTCTCATAAATTATTTATTTTTTTTGCTATACAAAACAATAATCACAAATACACTACAGTATTACGGAAGTTAATGTATTCAATTTACTCTCGGATTTAAATTTAGTAAAACACTTGTAATATGTGATGAAACTTAAAAAAATATCCGATAAATTGTGAATTTCATTTAGAATAAATATATGCAAACAATTTGATGAACTTAACCAAGGATAAAATTTCTACAAAAAGTAGTGGTGAATTATGATTATTTTAATGAATTTACTTTATAATCAATGAATAGTTAACATTACATGAAATGCCAATACTGTAATTATTAATGATTATATTTCATATAATTATGATTCCAATAACCTTTTTTTTTATGTTACTATGATTTCTGCAGGTGAGATTAATGGGTTAATCCGCATCAATATGATGCTATACTTTATTACCATTGTACATATACACATATTATTAACCATGTACTTATGCTTACATAGTACTATTATTGGACAATCCAATTCCCTCGAAATAATTTAAACCAATTTGCATGATTATAGATTTCTGACATTATAAAATATTCAGATAATATCTTTATACATAAACTACAGAAGAGTGTGATTCACGTATACTTTCATTTATAATAGATCCAGATGTTTCAATAGGTTTTTTATATAGTTTTTTATAAATCAAAAATCCAGCAGTAAACAATATTCCAATTAAAATAATTCCACACACACCAATACCAATTCCAATATATAAATTATTATTACTTTGTTGAATAATTGTTGGCTGATTTGCAGTAGGTGTTGGTATAGCTGAGGTAGTTGTTGGAGGTACATTTAAATTTACTGAAGTAATCCAAGTGTAATTTCGTATGTCAAGAATATAAATATTATTAGTGAATGTATTCGCCACTGTAGTTTGACCTGAATATATCAAGGTTAAATAAAATAAGTATAATAAATTAATAGCCACTAATATTAAATAAATATAGTAATACCAAATGCAATAATCATATAATTTTTGTATAATGCAGCAGAATGATCTGAGAGTGGTGGAGGCGCATTTGTTCCAGAAACACTTTGAATAGACCATATCCATGTATTGGTATTTAATACTGAGATATCTGAAAATATATTAATGAGAATGCCAGAAGTAGAATTTATCGTTCCGCCTCCATATATAATAATATTTCCATCCTGAGCTGTAAAAAAAAAAGATATTTAGTAAAGAATAAAACATATTTTGCACTGATACTATTATATTGTATTGCTTACTTAAAACTGCAGAATGTCCAATACGAGATAAGATAGTTGAACCACCAGCAACCTAATAGGAACATATGTTAAAAAATTAGATTTAATAATTAGCAGCAATTATAATAATTATTTAATTATATTACTTGAGTAGACCAGACGTAAGATCTTGTATCAAATGTTTGAATCTGCATTTCGGTAACAAAGTATAGTTTTAGATATATTCGAAATTATAAAAAATGTTTATTAACTTAACTGTACCTCGTTCATATTTGCTAAGTTTACACTTAAACTTGAACCTTCACGCCCACCAATATAAATAATAAGACCATTTGGTAATAATGTAGCAGTATAATCTGCATAACTAAGAGACTGGGATTGAATTTTTGTTGACCAAGTCATCGTATTGATATCAAGTATATTCATGTCATCATAAGCAATACCTATCGTACTATTATAATTTGTTCCTCCAAAAATAAAAATCTTTCCGTAATTGTCCATAATGGCTTGCATTTCATTACGTTTTGCGAAGCTAGAATTAAAATTATTAATATTTGGTGTTGTCCATTGTGAAGTCTTAGAATTAAATACATATACTGATGATGAATATATGTAATTTGCAGTATTTGGAGTAAATGTTCTCCCACCAACTAAAAAAACAGTGTAGTTATCAATAGGACTAACACATGAACTACCAAAATTATTTCCTAATAGCATTCCAACATCTTGATGCCATGGAGGTGTTATTATATTAATTGAATTTGATAAGTCAAGATACCAGACTTCATTAGATGTAGAATAGGGCGAAGTTACTCCACCAAAGAAGTAAAGTTTAGTACCAACTAATGTGCTAGCTTGCTGACATCTAGCATTAGGAGTATTCTGGCAAATAACTAAAAAACAAACTGAGCTAAATACAACAAAAAAAAGAACATTATAAAACAAATTCATATTAAAATAATTAAGTTATAAAAACTTGTATGTTCTTCTTTTATCAATCGGAATCATTGTGCTTAATTCCGTACTACATAAAATCGCAAAAGATAATATTGAGATCACTTGTTCAAAATAAACAAATGGTGCAACTTGAAATGCCAGATAATTTGGAATTAAGGTTGCTTTTTTTTTTTTTTTTTGAGAAATGTTTTTGCGTATATTGAATTTTGTGATTAAATTTAAAAGTTTACTAATATATTTCTTATAAAGTTTTTTTTTTTTTTAAAAAAAAAAAAAAAGTCTTAATACACGACGATATCTAATTTTACACGTAAAAAATAATACACATTTCCTCTAGTTGATGTATATTAACCTCTTAATGATACGGATAGTGATAGACGTTGGGAAAAAAAAGGAAAAGCACAGAATAACGG